ACAAATAACCACTAGGAAGACAGTATACAATGAGTTAATTATTGAAACTGTCCTACCAATTTGATTTGAAATTGTCTCATTGCTATTAATTTGATTTGAAATTGTCTCATTGCTCTCAATAAAATTATGGGAATAAAATAAAAATAAAATCTTAAAAAAAAGAAATTCATGAGGACCAGACCAGCTCTACAATAAATTATGAAAAATCTTTTATAAAAGAACAATGAATACTTCAATTTCAAGACCACCATCAATATGAAGCTATTCAGAAGGACAATCAGTTAAACAGAAGGGCAAGACATAGATCCAATTAGAGCGAAATAATATGACAATGGTAAGTCCACACATATCACTTATAATCGTCAATGTAAATGATCATAATTCACCATTCAAGAGAAGCAGATGGGCAGAATAGATTAAGAAATGATCCAATAATATGCTGCATACAATAAACACATTTAACTCAAAAAGTGATACATTTTAAGGATGAAAAACTATACTTAATATCACACAAAACCGGAGAAAAACATGAGTAGCTATTCTATTTGAAGAAAAGTGAACTTCAAGCAAGGTTATCAGAAAAGACAAAGAAGCTCACTGCATAGCTGCTAATAGAAAACTGCAAGAAGAGCTAACTATCATGCATATGCACACACCAAATATCAGTGCACCCAATTATATTAAAGATATTGCTGACATGAATAATCACATTGTAATAGAATGCCTTAATACCCCACTGTTAAAAACAGATTAACTGGAGAAGAAAACAAAGAAATATAAAATTGACACAAATCTGTAAAAAAATGGACTTAGCAGATGTTTACACAGTTTTCCTCCCCATGACTTGAGTGTACATGTTCTTCTTAGTTGTGAATGAGATGTTCTCTGAAAGAGATTACATATTAGCCTATAGAATATCTTTAAGTACATGGAAAGGAACTGAGGTTATTCCATGCACATTATCAGACCACTATGTACCAACTACAATACCTATTCATGGTAAAAAAACAAAACAAAGCAAAACAAAATAACACAGAACATGAAAATAGACAGACTTTACCTCAGTCTGACAAAAGCCATCTGTGACAAATCGAAGACTAACATCATATGAAATGGCTTAAACTGAAAGCTTACATTCTGAAATCAGGAATAATTCAAGGAAGTCCACTATCACCATGCTTGTTCAATATAATTTGGAAACATTAACCAGAACATTTAGACAAGAGAAAAATGTAGAAAGAATAAGGACAGAAAAGAAAGACGTTAAATTATCAATATGTGTATATGGCATAATACACTACACAGATAGCAAAGTCTTTGCTAAACAACCCTAGATTTAAAAACTGAATTCTGTAGCTTACTGCCAAGGTGCAGATTCTGATTCTAGGGAACAACCACCTCAGGAGAGAGAAAAGTGGGTGGTGAAGAAGAAAGACTTAGAAAAACATACTGAGGTTAGGAGGGACAAGAGTGTGTCTCTTCTACCCAGAGAAAAATCAGTGGCCTTTATTCATACATGAATGATTACATACCCTTTCTTCATATAAGATTAACAGATGTGGTTTTTCATCTATAATCAAAAAACAATTTAAATTTTGATTAACATGAGAACACAGTATAAGCTAAGAGTAGTCATGGAAACTTAATCAAGCATTGTTCTTTCTGTTCTATTTTATGCCCTAGTGAGTCCCTCGCTCTTGGGGGTACTTTCTCATGGCCTTAAGATCTTGATATCTAAACTTTGTTGTTGCTAAATATTCTTGGCTTAGGCTTGTCCCTCTATGTAGGTTTACAAGGCAGGAGGCAAGGAGTTAGACTCTATGAGAACTTTGCCTTTAATGAAGATAGGCCACAACCCCAGGTGATTAACTGTGTGCCCTCTTTTACGTGAATTACAAGCCTAATGATTCCTGGTGGGAGGTGGAGACACATTCATGTGAAGCGCCACTTGCATATTCTCTAAACTTGATATGACCCTGCCAGAGGCCAAGCACTGGATGGCTCTCCACAGCACACCTGAACACAAAATTCATGTCATTCTTGTACACAAATAACAAAATCACTGAGAGAGAAATTAGGGAAACAACACCTTTCACACTAGGACCCACAAAATGGAAAACTTAGAAATTAACCAAATTAAGGATGTAAAAGACATTTACAGAAAACTACAAAACTTTCTTACTTGGAAAAATAAGATGGAAGAGCATATCAGAAAATGGAGGGCCGGCCAAATAGCTCAGCTGACTAAAGCCCTTGCAAACTGCCACTGGGTGGCACTCTGATGGCCATTGACACTGGGCATGGTGGGGCGCACATGTAATCCCAGCACCTGGGAGTCTCTAAACAGGCAGATCACTATGAGTCTGTTCTAGTAGTGAGACCCTGAACACCCTGTAGACCCTTCCCTAAAGTACAAAAAAGAAAAAAAGAAAAAGAAAATGATAGGATATCCCCTGTTCTGGGGTAGGAGGAGGAACCAGTATAGTGAAAATGTACACTGTCTCAAAATTTTTATACAGATTTAATGCAATTCAGATAAAAAAATAGCATTCCTCACAGAATTAAAGAAAATCTTTCTAAAATTGATTTGAAACTAGAGGAGACCTGGAATAGCAAAATCAATACTGGGCAAGAAAAGGAAGAAAAAGGATATCACAATCCCTGACTGAAATTACATTGCAGAGCTCAGTATTCAGGAAAAAAAAAGCAAAAATTAAAAAAAAAAGTTAAAAAAGACACAAGGATCAATGGAATGCAGAAAATGAGAAGAGAATGCAGAAACAACTCTGAAAACACTGAGCCACCCTGTCGTTAATAAAATGTTTAAACACCATCATCGAAAAAAGAATACACTGTTCAATAAATATTGGGGTAAAGCTGGCTTTCCAAATGCCAAATTCTAAACCTAGACCCATGTATCTCACCATAATATCAAATGGATCAAAGATCTGAGTATTGAAAGAGAAATACTAAACTAAATCTGTTGCAAGAAACAGTAGGCTGAACTCTTGAAGACATAAGTGTAGGCAAAAACTTTAGGAGCAGAAACCTAATCACAGAAAGTATCACAAAAAAAAATCAACAATTGGGGTCTAATATAGTAAAACATGTTTTCTCAGCAAAAGAAGCCACCAACGGACAACCCACAGTGGGGAAAAATTACCATATCTTTATCAGATAAAACAGTAGTATCTACAATGTATAAAGAACTTAATAAAATCAGACCCTCTACATGTAAAGATGCAATCCAAAAATGGGTATCTGTAGAAGTAGAAATAACAAATGAATACTTGAAAAAAATGTTCAACATCACTGTTCATTCAAGAGATGCAAATGAAAACACCACTGAGATTCTATTTTACTCCAAAAAGAATGGCGATTAACAAGAAAAGAATGAATAACAACTGCTAACATGGCTGTGGATAAAAAATAATCCTTGTCTCCTGTTGGTTCTGGTGCAGACCGGTGCAACCACTCTGGAAATGAGCGTGGAGATTCCTCAAGGGACAGGAATACTTGTTCCATTTATCCCAGCTATTCCTGTGATTGGTATCTTCCCTTAAAGAATTAAAAACATCTTACTTCAACAATATATACACATCTATGTTTACAGCAGCACAATTTATAAAATCTGAATCTTGGAAACAACTCAAATGCGCATCAACTAATGAATAGATACAGAAGATATGTTTTCTTCTGAAAACAGTACAGTACTACTCAGTCATGAATAAGAGTAAGCTTGAACATTTCTATTTAAATGGATGCACTTTGAGACCATACTCTTAAGTGAAGTTAACTGGACACACATGTTCAAATATTGCATGGTTTCTCTGCTGTGCAAAAGTGAAGGTGAAAATGCAGAGTAAAATTTATGTGACATACTTTGAGGTAGGAAGAAATGGTCAAATGAGAGGGGGATATAAGGAGCGGGTGGGGAAAGAAAAAGAAAAAATGCAAGGAAAACACAGAAAGTTTCTGTGAATAACAGCAGTTGAAGAGAGGGACTGGAGAAGAAATGAATCAACCTGTATCACATACAGGCACAAGTTCTATATGACCAATGTTGCCATAATGTGAGAAAAACTTCTGGCTGGCCTAGAGGCTCAGTGTCAGATCACTTGTCTGCAGAAAGCACTGGCCTCACTCTAGAGCACTGGGGAGGGTGGGGAGGGGAGAAAGTAAATCATTTATCAAAGTCAAAACTAAGAAGAAGAAACCCAGTGCTCCAGAGCAGGCACATTTAACCTTGCTTTCATTGTGTTCACATGATTGCAAGAGACCTTGCTGAAGTGCCAGAGCAATTTACTGCCATGACACACATTGAAAAGTTAACTGAGTCCAAGGGAAAATGAGGAACACATGTTATGGGCTGGATAGGACTTCTTGCTGGTGAGAAGTAGAAGCTTGCTCAGCCTTCAAGAGAGCTCCAGGAGCCTTACCTGGAAGGAAACACAATGGAGGACCATTGTGCTATTCGGTCAGATGCCCAGTGGAGCCCCAATCTGACTTCCTTTGCCCGCTCCAATTTTCTCATTACCCAGCACTTTAGCCTGCACATCACCTCCTTAATCACCTCTGCCTGGTAAAAATTCTCTTCATGCTTCTTAGTTCTCAATCCCAAGACAAACCTGATGAGTGCTGCCTGCTCCTCTCTCTAAAGGTAGCTTGCTGCTCAGTCTACACACCCTATGGCTAGACACTGAGCCTACCTCATCAGGGTAGGCCTTGTAATCCCTGGTTCCCCTCATTGGAAATATGACCCAATATCCAGGACTCAGCTCACCTCACCCCCAATTTACCCACATGCCAGTGTCCAATGGATTTCATCACACACACACACACACACACACACACACACACACCATGCACACATGCCGTTTACACCACATCTTTATCAGATCACCCTGCACTTCATTTACTCATAACTCTTCGTGTTATCTGACCTATTTTATTTCTAGTTCTTCCCCACTGGGGGAAGATAAACCACATCAAGAAGGACTCTTTTGTTTTGCTCTTCTTTTAGGTCTCAGGACAAGGGCTTTAACACCTCTAGGGCATTTAATAAAATTCAGATGAATAGCCAGCTAGGAGTGTGTGTGGCTGGCTGGTTTGTGCTCTTTGGAGGATTCTACTCTTCACAGCTGTGGGTTGAGGGGGTGTCCTGATTTGAATATCCAGTTCAAGTGTCAATACTTAGTAGCAACAATCTTGGGTCATTTGTAGTTCCATCAGCTTCTTCACAGGTGAAGGAGCTGAGATTAGCAAAAGGAGTTGATCACAGCAGGAGGGTGAGCCCAGGAGGTGAAGGTCTCTGCTACTCTCACATCTTTGAGCACCACATTTCTGGACCCTTCCTCTCTGCACAGTAAAGAAGGCAAAATAAAAGTGTGAGGTATTCAACTTTAGAGGGACAGCATAAATAGGAGACAACAAAAAGTAATCATCATTTGTCATTCCCGTGAGGGTAAGGATGAAGCTTACTATTCCAGAAGCAGCTCAGGTCAGCCACAGTTAACAAGGTGGAGATTAAATCTCACAGCAATAGATTCACTCAGGCCTGCTGAGGACAGCATCTGTCTTCTTCTCAGACTTCTTGAGGGAGCAATGTATGCAAAAGAAGGATCGCCCGCCCATTTCTCCAGGAATTCCACCCAAGGGCTGTGGCCTGCATGCTCCGGAGAGGTGATCATGAAACTGGACACAGGTTCCCCAATCAAAGGCTAGCTGCCCAGGAGTTGTTATCAGGATCCTAAACACCAGCCCACTTTTCTGAAGGATCCACCCTCTATGCCCCCCCATCCCGCATTGGGCTATCACCCATCAATCACGAGGCCCCGCCCATCCTCCTACTTGTTGCTCCCCTCGTTTCTGCCACAGCAGCTTCCACAGCTCCACTCTACTCCCCACCCCAGGGCTGATCTTCCTGGGTCCCGTTCTTTCCTTCTACAGCTCCTCCGCTGCCTTGCGCTTTGCTCACCTTCTCCCGCAGGGCAGTACCACAGAGCTGGCTCTCCAACACAAAGAAATCCCAGAACCCCAGGCTGAATTGGAACAGAGCACTGCCTCAGCATGACCTAGGAGAAGCGCAGTAGTAGTCGTCCCGCCCCCTCACCACTGCGCCTGTGCACATGGAGCTCGCGGGCATACTGGCCAATGGGAGAAGGGGGAGGGGCGTTCTGGGCATGATGCCCTGGCGATTGAGCAGAGTTATCCCTGATGGGATTTTAGGGCTGTTAATGGCACACCTGTGAGAGTCCTAAGCATCTGTGATCCTGATCTCTGATCACCCAGACCTAGTGCCATCCTCTTGGAACTCTCAGGACAGTGCAAGAGTGTTTGATTCACTTTCTACCTCTTTCTACATTCAGCATTTGTTTGATTTAAGTTACTAATAAAGAGCGAAGATTGATTTTAGTATATTCAGTGCTGTATGTGTTTACCCAATTTCTGGAAGGGGTTACTTGAATGATGTTTCAAAAACTAAAAATACTGTCTTGTTTTGAAGTTTGTACTGATGTGGATTCCACCAGCTCAAGGTTTTCTTCCTTTTTTTTTTTTTCCTGTCTTTTCCGTCTCTGGTCCCAGGTCTGGAACCCTGCATCGTGCTGAGTGGGGCAAAGCCTATTTGACTCCCTATATTTGTCTCATTGTCTTTTACTGAGATGGCCTGATGCTCAGGGTTTATCATGACTTTTGTAGAACTTTCCTTTCTTAAAGGTAAATTTTATTATTATATTTGGTATGGTTAACTAATGGATTTCTCTTGCAGTAGGCATATATAAGTATCCTTGTTTTCAAAGAAAAAACACATGAGGAAAACAAAATAGGTTCTTGTGACAATGTATGGGTCACTATGTATGGTAACCAGGACAATGCCTGGTATCAGAACTCATGATAAAATAGGGTTCACGTTTTCTTAAAAGGCTCATTCTGAAAGTTTTTTTTTTTTTTTTTTTTCCTTTGGCAGAACTGAGGGTTGAATTCTGGCCCTTGCACTTGCCCGGGAAGTGCTTATTTCACTGATCCATCTCCCCAGCCCTAGCTCATTCTGAATGGGAATGTTATTCAAGGTATTGAAAGTGACATGCAACCTCCAAGAACTGTTAATAGTAGAAGAACCTTATTCAGTTTCATCCCACGTGAAGGGGGCCGTGTGTTTCAACCAGCGGCAGGCTGCCTTTTCCCTTTCCTCCTCTTTGCTCCTCCTTGCACCCCAAGGGCCTGGGAAAGTTTGCTGCAATGTCCTCCCTGACCATCAAACCCACATTCTACACTCCAACGTGAGTGCAACCAGACAGCGTGGTTTCCTTGACCCACTGATTTATATATAATATGTGTACAACACAAAAACCTGAATACATACATACATGATTCATATAACAAAGGATTATTAAACAAGGTACGTGGAGAGATTCATAAATTCTACTTAGGAAATATGCCTACTGCACATTAATAAATTCAGCCCAAAGATGAAATATTCATTTAATGCTATACAATCTGAAAGTCGGACAATATTTGCTATAATATATGAACAACAATTTTGGGAAAATTAAAAACTAGTGTGAGATAATTTCTTATATAATTTAGGGGATTCAGAAATATTGATATGCAGAATAAATTTAGCATATTAAAATTGAAAGAAGTGTTGAGAAATTCAAGAGAAAAACAAAAGGATAGAAAATAATATAATCAACAGCATAAATAACATTCATTGTGGAATCAAGAGAAAAAGTAGAATAAAATTCTAATTGAAAATTTATAATTATGAGCAATTCATGTGCAAGACTATTAAAGAAGTGAATGATAGTCCTTTATTCACTGTAGTAAATCCCACACTGCATCAAATATATGACTGGATAATTTAAGAAGATGTTTTTCCTCCAGAATGTGTTTTACTTTTGAACCCAGGAAGAGAATTTCTCTCTGGTCGTAAAAGAATAATGTAGCACTTGGGCGCAAAGATGCAGCCCAGCAGCCCTGCACTGGAGGCCAAGATGGAGAAGACCTCCATGGCCACCATGGCCTTCCCCTTGCTGCTGTGGTACACGGGCAGGAAGGTGACCCACACGCTGCAGAACACCAGCATACTGATGGTCAGGAACTTGGCTTCGTTGAATGTGTCAGGCAGGTTCCTGGCCAGGAAAGCCACAGTGAAGCTCACCAGGGCCAGGGAGCCCAGGTATCCCAGGACACAGTAGAAGGCAGTGAGGGAGCCCTTGTTGCACACGATGATGATGTGGCCATGCTCAGAGTGAGCATCTGTGTCAATGTAGGGTGGATGTGTCCCTATCCAGATGCCACAGAGAGTGAGTTGGATCAGGGAGCAGATGGGGATGATGTAGTTTGGTGCCCCTGATTCTAGCCACTGTCTCATCTTCCTGCCTGGACCAGTGACCTTAAAGGCCAGCACCACAGTAATAGTTTTTGCCAAGACAGTGGAAACAGCCACAGTGAACACAACTCCAAATGTGGTCTGCTGCAGGATGCAGGTGGCTGTGTTGGGACGGCCAATGAAGAGCAATGAGCAGAGGAAACAGCAGGTGAGGGAGATGAGTAGAGTGTAACTTAGGGCCTGGTTGTTAGCCTTGACAATAGGAGTGTGTCAGTGCTTCACAAATAGGCCAAGCACAGAAGCTGTGAGGACAGTGAGAGTCAGGGCAATACCAACCAGAACCTTCCCCAGGGGGTCTTTGTAAGCTAGAAAAGTCTCAGCTTTTCACAGGCAGGGGTTTCTCTGAGTGTTGGCATACTGAGCATCTGGACACTTCCCACACTGCTACATATCTAGAAAAATTAAAATCATAATTTGCCTATGTGTGTTTGCTTGTTTATTTATTCACAAAACCATCACCAGAAACTCACTGCGCTTGAACTAAATTGCCAATTTTTAATTTTTTTTTCTTTCTATTTGTTTTTCAGTCTGCTGGATTGAACTCAGATACCTTCCACTGAGATATAGTGCAAACCCTTTTAAATTTTATTTACAGAAAGGATCTACTTAAGTCTCTTTATTGCCAAGGCTGTTGCAACACAATCTTCTTGCCTCTGCTTTCCAGAGTCCTGGATCCTAGGCACGCATAACTGCATTTTAATTTTCTCTTTCTTTCTAGACACAAAGTTAAAGAGTTTTTATACACAATAACTTCTATGTAGTACTGATGACATTATTTATTCTTCTTTTAAATCTGGGATATCCATAAAACTATTCTATATTTTAAAAAGTGGTCTACCTTGATTACTTGCTTCACTTACTTTTATTTGATTTAAATCAAATCTTTATGAATCATAACAAAGCCAACAAAATTTTCTAAATCACAGTGAAATACATTTGAGGAACCATATTGAATGAGAAGTAGCTCCACTCTTTGGCCTCTCCACCTATGAAAATGTTGTATGCAACCACGTGGTTCATTTTTATTGCCAAGGGTGCTTTTTAGTACTTTGATTTTGGTATCTGTAGAAACCATGACAGGATATGTCATTACGTATTTAATGTTTTTCAATATTACAAAAATCAAATTGCAGAATTTTATTTGTGATTGCCTTATGACCTAGGTAGGGAAACAGGTTTTCAGTCTTTTATAATAGTCTTGTATTCCACAGCCATGGAATCAAATATCGTTTTTACTCACTTACAAGAGTTTTACATTTAAACGCTAGTATCACTGGAAAATCCAATCATTTATGCTTCTCCCTTTCTAATATATTTTTATTTTGGGGTGCTTTCTTCATTACTTTGACCACGATGTAGTGTCATGTCTGGCAGAAGTATGATATAGAAACTTCTTCTCTCTTTCTGCTTTTAAAAATGGAACACAAATTTTAAAGTGGGCTGTAGGATACCATAGAGTTCACTTTTGGTGACAATTAGAGACTCCTCCTACTCCTCCTTCAGTAGGCAACACTCTTCTTGCTTCTTTGTAAATCACAGTGATGTACAGTTTTATCACATTGTCTCCACTTAGCAGCATTGTTTTACTTTGTGCAGGATCTAGCACATTTGATTATAATTTTATGAACTGAGTTTGCTTATGGTGTAGTCCGTGGAGTACACAGCTCAATTGGGAACAGAATATGTGAATCTAGATTAAAAAGGAAAGCAGACTGTGAACTTTATCTCTCTATGTGCACTTTCAGCTGAGTAACATCAATGAGATCCTTCCTTAAAGCAAATTTATTTTACTCTTCTCTGAAAGGATGAAGTCAGTATTACTATGTTTTTGAATGCTTATGAATTTTACTGCTAATATTACTAATCAATGACAATTTGTAGTGAAATATGAGACTATGAACACCTATCTGATAACAGACATGGTACTGTCAAGATATTAGTATTATGGAGCTTTTTAATTATTTGTTTGGAGGATTTTGCTAAATTTCCCTCTGTTCCTATAGATTTCAACGCTTAGATGGATGTGAAATTACTCCTATTTTCATAGGAAATGCTTTGAATATAGCTATACCAATGGACAATTATCTGTCACATTATTATACTACCTTTCAATTTTTCTCTTTCTCCTTGATTAATTGTAATAAGGGTAGCAGTTTTTGTTACCAGAGTCATATTCAATTCTGTTCATTTTATCTGCATCACAATTTATTTAACCTCTTTATTTTTGAAAGCAAATGTCACTATGCAGTTCAGACTGGCCTGAAGCTCACTTTGTAGCCCGGGCTGCTCTTAAACTAATGTGATCCTCATACCTCATCCTCACTAGTGTTGGTATTACAGGTGGGAACTACCAAACCCAACTCTGTCTTAACTGTTTAAAACTTCTTTCAGACCCATCTTTCATTTTTCCTGTGTTAATTTGCTTTACTTTTTTCTCATTTCTCACTTTTTTCTCATATTTCAAACAGAGAAGTCCAGCTTTTTGATTTGAGTAGAGAACAGCACACAAGTGTATAATACCTATTTATCTCAGTGTAGTTTTACCTTCAAATCACAGGATCTTCAGTTTTACACGATCTTCAATTTTTGCTTTGATCCCTCCTATACACTATGTATGATGGAGAATTACACATACCAGGAGCATGTATTAACTGTATTAGTGGGAACATTGTACCTGTATGTGCACATACAGTATTTATAAAAATATACCATATTCACCTATTTTGGAGAATGTAAGTTCAAAATAATTACATGATATAATACATAATCAGTCTTGATATATTTCAGAAAGTATTTGAAATCATACTGAATATGTTCTGAAATCAAAATTTACATCAGTCACTAACAAATTAGAAGTTATTCAGTATAAAGATAATTCCACCATGTAACTATCATTAGCATTTGATTTCTATAAATTTTCAATAATAAAGTTTTATCCTCATTCTCATTTTATCTTTTTAAAAAATAAAAACAGTATTTTCTTTCAGGATAGTTGAATATTACATGAATGGAGAGGGTGCTGTTATGACCACTTCTATTAATCTAAAGAAGGATTTATACCACTTCCTTTTATTCGGTTATAATACTAAGCTATCACCTCTGTAAAAATACACATGATGACCTCCAAAAATATAAATATTATCAATTGTTAAATCTCGTATTCTGCGTGCATATAATCCTTGCAGTTCTATGGTGCAGACTCTAATTCTTTCCATAGGCTGACTTCTGCACTCACCTATGCATTATAGGAGAATTGGGATTAAATCCCAGGAATTGTACTGTGCTGTGGTACAAGCATGTTGTACACATACACAAAAATCCTGCTATATCCAATAAAACTCATTCTCTCCAAGCACATTCTCTGTGTGATAGTAGTGTCAGCACCTGGATAATAAAGAGTGCCTTACCTTGTCTTGACTGTAGTCTTTCTTTGGTTGCAACAATTGTAAACAAATTTTTGTTACTCCTACTGCCTGTTAAACTTCACAAAGGAGATGGAACTTAGAAGCTGTAGGATAGGAATAAGGGCTAAACTTGAGGAAATAATGCTTTTAATGGGACTTGAAAAATAATTCAATGTAAGCAAATGTAGTGGTGCATAAATGTGATCTTAGAGAACTAATGGCCTGAGACAATTTTATTGATGCTATGAGGCTTTCTTAGGCAAACTGGTGATATTCTGTTTCAAAGCAAAAAGTAAGAGGGTCTAGAGGCATAGATTGACGATGTTTCTTGGTTCAATTCTTAGCAATGCAAATGACAAAACTGATAAATAAGAAGGGAATAAAAAGAAATGGAATTTGAGTGAATTTTAAGGGGAAATGAGCCTTTCAATCACTCAATAACATTCAGTATAACACATAACTTGATAAGTAAAGGAATACCTTTACCATCTGCATCATCTACAAGACCTCCACTTCCTGGATGGATGGAATGAACATAACGTAGAGTGAGAATGTGTCCCCAGGACACGCTCCTACCTGTGCCATTGGTGATCTCGTTCTCTGCACAAGGGGTGCAGTGGAAACAGCAGGCAGCCTTTCCCTCCAGAGTGTTTTTTCTGAATCCAGGATTGCAACTTTCACTGCACACTGAGTGGGGCGTCTAAGAAAAAAATATATGGTGGTAACTTCTTAGAACTGAACTTCCTTCTTGATAGCTAGAGGGATAAACTTAATTTGTATGCATACATAAACAAAACTAAGTAGTTGTATTCCAAATTTATTTCACAGTATGATGTATATACTTACAAAAATATAAGTAAGCGGGTGCATTTCTTTCTCAATCATATTAAAGCTTATAATTCTTTTTTTTTTCAAATTGAAAACCAAGTTATTTAATTTCCACATGTGACCATTGCATGAGCAAAATTGAGGGCCCAAAGCCTACGATGGTGTTTTGCTTAATTGTTGTTAGTAAGTGATATGATTAGGAGCAACACACCTCTGTAACTCCTGTGGCCCACTCTATCATATCCTCAAACAAAGTCAGGTTTTGGCTATCGGGAGCATGTGAAGAAAATGTGCCTAGTTTAACCTTCAGTCTAAGGCCTTCCGGAAAATTCCAAAAATTGAGAATGTCATACTCTAAGTCCAGTTTCCTTCTATGATCGAAGTTCACCTGGTCTCCAGAAGGATTGTTAAATTGGATGTACTTCAGAAAGGAATGCAGCTGAGAGAGAGAGAGAGAGAGAGAGAGAGAGAGAGAGAGAGAGAGAGACCATCCTATGTGAACAGGGCTGCAGGATAAAGGCAGAAAACATGGATGGGGGAGTTGCTAAGCATATTCAATCCCGTTTATCTGCAGGAACTTTAATACTGATATCAAATAAATCAGAACACATGATGTCTAAGGACTAAAATGTCACCATGTTCCAGAAAATTCAGTTTCAAGAAAAATATATTCTATGCTAAGCTATTTAAATAAGGTATGCATTTGAGTTAGGACAAACCATCAACCATGGAATCAAAGCATCTAAACCCAAGCTTGCATTGTCTATCTGACAGTTTCCCTGGCATCTACCTACAAAATGAGTTCAACATCTGCAGAATTTTGCAGAATCAAATGAAGGTGAGCTCTGTATACTGTTGTTTTTAATGCCATTCGGTTTTGTTAGTGACTATAGGTTTTCCTGTTCACTTTTAAGATAAACACAAAACGTGCTTTTGTAGGTAAGTTGTTGACCTCACATACACAGAAGCAAAGAGCTGGCCTCCTGTCACCACCTCCTTGTTAGTGTGTCCTTGATTGAGGATCATTTCAACTCAGATCAAGAATCACCTTTTTCACAAAAAGTGTGATATGCATTGTTGAGTATTTTGCAGAAATAGCTCTAATAATCTTTCATGAAACACAAAGAATAACTTGAGAGAGGCACCTTGATGACACTGCCTGCCCTCCAAGGGAAGACTCTTTACCTGCCAGGGGGAAAACATCATCATTTGTCTATCACTCAGTGGTGGCCTTTGCACTTCTTCGTAAAGCATTGCATGGATAGCATGGGCTACAGAGTACACAGCATTGTATATATTAAAGCTCCGATCACCGATGTCTGTGTCAAAACAATTTGGAAGCAACCAAGCCATAGAGGCATTGGGTGTACAGTTCTTAAAGGCACAGTCAGATGCAGAAAATAAGCAATCAAAATTCTTATACCAACACATAACAAGGTAAGTGTCTTCTGGGTATTTGAAAGGACTTGCTTCCTTGATAAAAGTATTGAACCCTGCCATCTCTTCTTGATGGTGTGAAAAAATAAGAATCCCTTGGAATGGATCCAGTATGAAATCTCTCCCAGCCAGGTCAGCATGCCATTGAGAGTTTGTCACCCAGACTTTCCATGTCACTAAACTTTGCACGATATTATAATTTACCTCATTTGAATTATCAGTGTCATAGTAAATGACCACCACATTGGCAGATGATGTATCTGTGGTCAAGATTTCATGTTTCTTTACGGCTAAGAGATAAGACACACCCAAAGTTGACACCATTTTTACAAAGGCTACACAGACTGTGTTCCTGTCCATCTCAGCTCTTACATTTGAGAGAAACTGAAGACCCTTATGGCCTTCTGTGATGAGCAGGCCCACCCAGGTCCACTGAAAATAAAGCATCAAGGACACCATGGCAAGGGCCAAATATGTGTCCTTTGGGGCCACTTGATGGAGTGAAGGATCAGTGTAGGATCAAATGAGCCAAAAGTTACCTAGAAGAGAAGGAAATCTGGGTGATACACTGAAGTGTTGATGGAAAGCATAATAGTAGTCCCAAGCTACTGAGTGACATCTCCACATTGTAGGAAATGTACAT